TATTTATCCAAGCACAGGACAGACTGCTATAAGCTCAGCAACAACTCTACTGGTAAAAGCAATGAGAAACAAAATTATCATCTTCTACCTTAATGATGATATTGCTGATTTCCTCTTAGCTTTTCTTGACGTTGAACACTTTGACAATAAATTACAAGAGCCATCTCTGAATACAACTACTGGTCCACTGGTATCAGTTGACATAGTTAGAATTTGAGCCACTGGCTGCTCAACCTGAAGTAAAAATATAATTTTACAACATGAAAGTAGTTTGAATGGATATTTCAAACTCACTATTAAAAACTTTTGTTAACTACAGTAAGCCAAGTTTTGGCAGGGAGGGGGTTAGACTTGCCACAAGTTGGTCTCTTTTTGGACTCACAAAGAAGGGAAAAGACTAGAAACTGAGCATTAAGTGAGAAAAACAAAGCAAGCATGGTGCACAATTTTGTGGAGGTGGTATGGAAACTTGGCAGTTAAAACTGTTTTGCTCATAGTTAAGTATGGACTTACCTTAATTCGATGACTTTCAACCAAGTTTCCATTATTTTCAGACCACTGACAGACATTCTGAATAGAATAGTTTGATTTGTTACACATAAAAACTGATGTATATCTAATTTAGCAAAAGCTACATTTAATAGAACCCTGATAATGATATCTCTCTGTAAAGTAAACTTGAACTCTTCCTCAATATTTGATAAAGATTAATTAGGTAACAAAAAGGTCCAGTCATTATGTTTTTTTTTCAGCTTACCAAGTCATCTAACACACCAATATATCTTGTACTATGAGGGTCTTGGACAACCGAGCATGAGAATTCACTTCTTTGTTGAACTGGTAAACTGTTGATAACCTTTTTATTTTCCAGCTATATAACAGGGTAATAAGGTTTTATAGACAACATTTATCAAAAGACTCGTTTTACCAACAACAAATTTCAGTGATTACGCCTCATATGAACTTACATTATAAATCAAAACACCCCTATCCTTAAAAGTCAATATCACATGGTTTTTGATGAGATGCTTCTCTATTCCAAGTAATGAATCCTTCTGAAATGTCCTGCACAACATAAAAGGCTCATTGATGTCCGCCATTTTGTTTGTGCACGTGCACTGAGCCGAAAACATCTTGCACAGCGGAACTATTTAATATAAAACTACGTCACTCCTCCTTAGTCCCTCTCTTTTTTCGATTTATATAATTTTCATAAATCGACAACAACTAATGTTAGCATTTTGTTCTTAATATGATCCCTTGTTGATCATTTTGCCAAAAACTCTTTTCCCAGCATATCATTTTAGGGTCTTTTTTGAAAAAGGACTGATGAATTGTTTAAAAATGACGTCACGAAAATGATGCTGTATCAGCAGAACTCCCTGAGCGCATGCGCGGGTCTACTGCTTTGTTTTTGTTATTTTGGGAAAAGGACGAGTGAGAGTTGAACGACAAGAAAAAAAGATTTTGGGTTGATTCAACGTTTATTATACCCCACAAATCTCCATGAATCTCGCTGCATATGGCGGGGATCCAACTGGGAACCTTCTATTTGTTAATTTTAACCAGGACTGCTCGTAAGTGTCCTGTTCTGAAACGATTTTTCGTGGATTGCTGATCAAAACAAAGTGGTTTGATGTTGTCATTTTTTTTTTTGTTTTGCTAGATCTCTGGCCGTAGGTGAAAAGACTGGATATAAGTTATACTCTTTAGGTTCAGTAGAGAAACTAGAAGAGATTTACGAGTATGGTAAGACGAGAAAATGCTTTGAAAATGCAAAGTTTAGGCGATAATTATATTAAGAAATGTCGTCATGACTTGGGGAAATTATAGGGGCAGCCTTACCAATTTTAGGAAATTATCTCTGCTTTTGCTGTTTTATTAGTTTTCTGTATTATGATTGCAATCATAAAGTGTCTCTGAGATTCTTAATTGTATTATTTTGTTTCTGTACTTTACACAAAGTGTGTTTTGTACAATAGAAGATAATTTCAGTGATCTAGGTTTGAAGACATTTTAGACACACGTTTCAAAGTACATTAACTTGTGTGGTTGACCTACATAACTAATGCCATTCAGCTTTTCGATGTTAAAATAACTTTCACTTTATATATCAATGTTTGTGAAATGATTTTATTTTGAGGTTGCTCCTTGTTTTCTATTATCTTTTTAATATAAACATTTGATATATAACTGAAACTCTGATTTTACAATGACCATGCTTAATCTCAGAGTTTTTTAATACTTTTATAAATAATGATGCCTTAATGAAAGTAGGGAAAGGTGAAGATATATGACTGTGGATTCTTTCTCTTCATAATATTCTTAAGGTGATACAGAAGATATCTGCATTGTCGAGAGACTTTTCTCTAGCAGTCTTGTGGCCATTGTTAGCCTGTCAGCTCCAAGAAAGCTGAAAGTCTGTCATTTTAAGGTAATCATCCACAAAATTAATTGACAACAATGCAAAATTAAATAAAAAAGTTGGAGAATCTAMAGGAGMTCCAGATTGGAATTGAACCCATGATCCTYCAGRGACATATGCTCTGACCAGCTATAATAAGTGTGTTTAAAATGTAAATTTATAAGTTATTGAAAACCCTGGTCTTCTTCTTATTTTTAACAGAAAGGAACAGAAATATGCAACTATAGTTACCCTAACACCATCTTAGCTGTTAAACTTAACAGAGTGGTAAGTGGCACAATRTTTCTTATAGCATCTTTTATGGGAACACTAAAGCTGGTTTATGTCAACCCTTGAGTCTGGGATAGGGTCTACATTTTAGCAATTTGTATTGAATAGGGTATGGAATCTCWCAATTTTGCTGTCTTGAATAGGGTTAGGGTTTAGATGTACCAGCAGCAGAACATCCMCATCTGAATCTYGATCAAGTACCAGACCACYCCCTAGYACTCCTTTTCACCAACCCCAGYTTAGGTCTAGTTGACAAGAAAAAACTGCAGAAAAGACAGTATTCATATTGTTRATGTCCTTACCACTGACTTCTACAATAAATTCATGACGTATCTTAAATTCTAAAATGTCATTCCCCGTTGCAGAGATTACTAGTTGTTTTGGAAGAGAGTTTGTACATACACAACATCAGAGACATGAAGGTTTGTTATGCATAAAGCAGGTCCAGTTCTAACTGGTTTGTTCAGGGGGTTTGCACCATGTCCTGAGACCTTGTGACTTTTAAATACTTCCCCTTGTTTTGTGTCACCTTAGTTTGTGATTTTTCTTTTGAAGAGTACCCACTCCTGGGTGCCTTGCACCACTCCCTGAAGAAAATCCTTGGTCCACCCGTGGGACCTGGAAAGTTTAATTTGATGCCAGTGTAACATTATTAATTTGTATTATTGGATTCACTTATAAATATCTAGATTTAAAGATATTTTTTCGTCTTCGCCTTGTGATTGTAAATTAATAATTTTACATTAAATATGCATTTACTAGGTTCTTCACACCATAAGGGACACGCCTCCTAATACAACAGGTTTGTATCTCATACAATAATCAACCCCCTAAATTTTCAATAATTATTGTAAGTTCTTGGTAATGATGATATTTTTCAGGTCTAAGTGCTCTGTCTGTCAATTCTGATAACTGCTATCTAGCCTACCCAGGGAGTAATCAGGTACTGAATCTCACTTCATTTTTCACCATTTATGTCATGTCTAAAGTTATCAAAGAATCTATATCTTTTGAGTTGGAGCATATTATCTCCACACAGCTGTATTTGTATGAAACACTCCCAACTGAAACTTAAAACATGGTTGTGAGGAAACTATCAAGTCAGATCCTTTATCAGCTTTCTCAAGTAGAGCCCTGTCTTTTCTGTCTGCTTTATTTTTCCCCATTTAATCAGTTACTAAAACACTATTATTAACAATTATTATGCCATTTCTAGATTGGTGAAGTACAGATATTTGATGCTGTGAATTTAGTAAGTTCAGTCTCATAATAATATCATTCTTACAGGGCCACAATCATAACCAGTCTCACTCCATTTTTTAGTTAAGCTTGAAAGGGGTGATGGGAAGGAGAGAGGAAAATAGTAACCATCTGTTGGGCAATTAGCTGTTAGTGATTAAATTATGATAAWGTAATATAATTTTCTCCAGCGWGCTGTTACAATGATACCAGCTCATGACTCAACTGTGGCGTCTATGGCATTCAACAACACTGGAACCAAGCTTGCTACGGCTTCTGAAAAGGTAATTTTTCTCCTGTATTTTTTAGTATTATTTGTCCAAAATTTATATTAACTTACATATTATTAGCCAGGGACTATTGTTATTGTCAAATCTTGTCATTTGTTTGCAAGAATTTATTTTTCATGTTTAACTCCAAAAGTTACTAGCGTAACTATCCTTTATGAATGGCTGGATATTATTTTTAGGGTACAGTTATAAGAGTTTTCTCAATCCCTGATGGTGCCA